CCCCAAACTCATGCTGGAAATAAGTACATTTGTGTGGTGATGGATTATATCACCAAGTCGCCTGAGGCATATGCAATACCAAATCAGGAAGCTACAACTGTAGCTTCGGCTATTAGTGATTTATTCTTCAGGTTTGGTATGCCATATGAACTGCATTCAGATCAAGCCGTAACTTTGAATCAGCTGTGTTCCATGAATGCTGCAAGTTGTTTGGTATACGAAAGACCAGGACAACACAACTTCACCCACAGTCTGATGGGATGGTAGAAAAGTACAACTGAACACTGGGACAGGAATTGGCAAAGTTTTGTAATAGTCGCCAAGATGACTGGGATGTCTTACTCCCTCCACTGTTGATGGCCTATAGGACAACAGAGCATGAAGCCACTGGATACACTCCAGCAAAGTTGATGTTTGGTCAGGAACTTCGGTTAACCGGTGGATCTGTTAAGAGGACACCCACCCTACGAAGAGTTGCCTGAAAATGTGTCAGAGTTTGTGAAAGTGTTATCGGAAAGGATGGATGATATTCATCATAAAGTGCGTTCAAACTTGAAAACGTCTGCTGATTCGATGAAGCTATTTTATGATAAGAAGTCTACTGAAGTCAGCTTTGTACCAGGAGACAATGTGTAATTGTATAATCCCAGGAAGACCAAAGGGAAGTCTCCTAAGTTATTTTCTCCATGGGAAGGCCCATATGACATAGTGGATCGTCTCTCAGACCTGATTTTCCGAATAAAATGTGGTCGGCGAGGTAAGCCAAAGGTGGTGCATGCCAACAGGCTTTGGCATTATCATGGTCCAGGACATTTGAGTTGGGACGAAGTGAACAACGGAACAAAAGATGCCGCTGAAGACGTGTCACCTGTAAAAGCTACTGTTGAAGAAGAAATTCTACTCGGTTTTGAGAAGGGAAACAGTGAAGCCCTTGATGAAGTTACTACCACTGATGTGACTATTAATGATAATAGGACATTTCCTGATGGAGCAGATGGACTTTACGTGAAGCAGAAGTCAACGAGACAGAGATCAGTACAGAAGAAGATACATCTCGTAAAATTAAGAGACTTTGTTGAATTTTAATTTTGTGTTTGTAAATTCTGTTCATTTATTTAAGTTATTGTTAATTATCTATTGGTTTAATGTAAATGGCTATTGTTCGGGACGAACAATACTAAGGAAGGGGCAGTATTGCGACTGCGGAAGTCATGTGATGCTAGTAACACGTCATGAGATTCTAGAAAGATCATGTCTGTTCGTGGCAACTCTAGTCTTCTCATGGTGCCCTCTATTTTTTATATATATAAGCCGGCAAATGAAGTGACGGCATAAAAGATAAGTGCAGACAGGCAGAGATAGAGACGGACAATTGAGTCAAGCGCGGTAGTAAGAAAAGTGCATGAATCGTTCACTGTGAATTATAGCATGTGTTTAAGTTAAAGTGACCATGGAAATTAACTGTACTGCAAAGATGAATTGAGAAAGAATAAACTAGTTTTATTTAAGAAAAGACTTGTATCGCTAAATTTTCATCCGAAGGAAATTA